GAAGGAGAACACGACCTTGGAGCTGCACATTCAGCTGTGTCATCCGCGAGCCGTTAACGCTCAGGTGGTTTCTCGAGAGCCCCAGGGACGAGCATCAATCACTCAATCGGTAGTGCAGGTGTAATATGATTATTGTCGCTAAGATAACCCGCCACGATACAACACTGTACAAAGTGTGCCAAGTGTGACGTAACAGGATTTATCCTCCGTTGGATGACGATGTCGAATCGAATATTCACGCTCCGTAGCATTTTTCCTTCGTTGACGAAATTTTCAAAATTTTTTTACATCTTACATGGGGTGCAACTTTTTCTTTTAACTTTTTCGAACAAAAAGTGTCTCTTTATTTCTTTTCCTTCCAAATTCGTCTAAATTTGAAATTTCGTTCGCGAACGATTCGTTCTCGTGGAAGAGTTAGAGCGGCAGAAATAGATGCCTCCCTGTTGGAACACGGTGACTCGGCACAACCTGTCTTATTTTCTGAATGACTCCGCGTTTCGATACACTCTCGATCTGGGCTAGTGAGAGCGCCAATTTTAACTGTTTATCCCGCGAATCCTTGGAGAAACTCTCTCCCAACGAGACGAAGAAGAAGAGGAAGAAGAAGAAGAAGAAGGAGAAGAAGGAGAATCGAGTACTTGCTAATAATAATAATAATAATAATAATAATAATAATAATAATAAAAAGGAAGAAAAGAAGAGGGAATCGAATATCGTTCGAGACGATAAACGATTTATTGAACATGGATAATTAATTCGTAAACATTTTTAGGTAGAAGTAAAGTCTGACTGAGTGAAACGGGGAGAAAGATGGACGATCGATCGCGCGTACTGGGCCAACGAGGAGGTAAAATAATGCGGCACGTGCGTTACTTAGAGAGAGAAAGAAACAATAATTTTTTTAGATATGAAAAATATTTATATATCTGCGTGAATAATTCACAATTTGTGCCCATATATGTATATATATACATATATACATATATATATATATAAATTTATATATATATGCGAAGGCCCAGTTAATGCTCTACATCTACCCTGTAGATCCGAATTTGTTTGATAAGAGGCGACAAATTCGGTTCTAGAGAGGTTTGTGTGGTGCATACAGAGCTACAGAGGTCTCGAAAAATCAACGGGTCGTTACACGATTTGTATTTGTAAACAATCGATTGTCACGTCGATTATCTTGTTTATTTCGAGATCGAAAAATTATATATATATATCATCGAATTAGTTTGACGATCCTCTTAGCCGCCATTTTTTTTTCCCCTATAATTTTTCGATCGTCTTCGTCGTCCATTTTGTATTCACATGTTCGTAGATGTAAGATGGATCTAGATGGATAAAGACTTGATTGTGAAGAAATTATCGATCGAAAAAAAAAAAAAAAAAAAAAGTCCTCCACAATTTCTAGAAATCGTCGAAATTGTATAAGTCGATTAGTAAATTTTTTTTCTCGATCCATAAATTTCATAAAAGATCTCATAAAAATTTCAATAAATTCTGCAACAATTTTCGCGGATTCAGAAAAAAGACAAGAACGTGTTCATTAATCGCCACCAAGAAGAACAGGATGGAACAGTATTTATTGCTCGGGAGCGTTTTTCAGCCATGCTGTCATGCGTGCGGATACGTTGGAAAAAATTCTGTTAGAAGAATTAATGATTGTTATTAATATTGTCGACTTAACACGTAATACGTCCTGCGAGAGAGAGAGAGAGAGAGGATGATCCACGTTAGGATTCTAATGTACACGTTGCATTAGCTTGCGCATTCTTGTACGTACGCTTTCTACTGGTCGACTCAAAAATGTACATCGTGAACAGTGTAAAGAAAAAAAAAAAAAAAATCAATTTTGAGAATCTGGTATCTCCATTAAATTTGATCAGAATTAGAGATTTCTCTTTTTAAATTTTCATTATTATTGTACAGAAAAGTTTCAAAAGATGTATCGACGTTTTATCGTAATCTTTACAAAAAGTGAAAATATCGATTTCTCTCCCCTAATGAAAAATTAATATTGGCACGTGCGAGGCGACACTAGCGCCACTCATTAACTCGAGATAATTTACTCGTCGTTCCTTTAATNTTTTTTTTTTCTGAGTTGGATTTGAATTAAATTTTTTTTTTTTTGGATTTTTTTTTTTGGATTTCTTCCCGGAGGGAATTATCCAATTATAATACGAGCTGCGCAAAAAATTGTTTTTCAACGGAAAAAGTATTCTTTCAATAACTTTTTCGTTGGAATTGTATTCTTGGAACGGGATTAAAAAAGTTATTTTTAGGATTCTTCCAGAAATTATTTTATCTATAACGATAAAAAACTAGATATTTTTATAATAAATTTAATATATTTATAATTATATTTATTTATTTATATTATTCAATCGTGATAATGAATTAAGTGAATTTTTTAATCAATTTGCATCAGGAATAACGTAAGAGATGGACACAAAAATTATTTGTTCTGTCATTGTTTACTCTTATAAAAGAAAAAAAAAGAAAATTTGTAATATTGTCGATTCAAATTCTCCTTGCTAACTGCGAAAAAAAAATCGATAAATCATTTTTATCATTATCGCGCTAATCTATGTAAATGATAATCTATGCAAATAGAAAATATTTAAATTAATTCGTTCGTCTTATAGGAAATTATTGTGCCATCGAGATCGATTACGAGTTTTATTAACTCGAGTTTTAAATAATCTTAATCTTGGTATGAGATCGCGCCGCATTGTAGATTGGTTGGATGATAAGGAAGAAGAAGAAGAAGAAGAAGAAGAAGAAGAAGAAGAAAAAAAAGGGGACCGACCGAGTTGCAATTAAGAAAACGGAAAATCTGCAATTCAGAGCACGATTGTGATACAATATAATGGAGAAAACTTGGAGAAAAAGCGTTCGAGGAAATTCGGAGCGCCAACCCTTTATGATTAACGAGGGAAATGTTCGTGTTCTCCGTTTTTATCCCACATCGCTCCAAGCGTTGTTTCTTTCTTTTTCTTTTTTAATCACTCGTCGATATGTAATTTTTGGGATATCTCGAAATTTCAAGTAAAAAAGTTTTGTATCATTTTTTTTTACAACACGTTCGATTATTTATATTATTTCCCGAAACGTCGAGGTAATTTCGATCGTGCACACCGATTGAAATTTTTTAACCAAACTTTTCCCTTTTTTAGGATCCCCCAAAACCTAGGATCCTAAAAATAAAATTGTTGGTAAGACATCTTTTTCAACGAAACTTGATCTCGGCGAATAAAGATGGCGCGTGGGAAGGAGAGCGCATGCGCAAAATTTCAAACTTTCATCCTAACCTAACCACCCTCTTTCGAATCTCTCGACTTCGAATCTCGATTCGCAAAAGGAAAAGCTTATTTTCACGTTCTGCAAAACAAAACAAAAAAAAAAAAAAAAAAAAAAAAAAAAAAAGAAAAGAAAAGAAAAGCGCGAAACCACTCACCACAAAAATGGCGGGCTGCTCGTTAACACAAACCGGCACGCGCATCAATTTCATCCGCAATTTCCTTCCATCAAGGAATTATTCGCACAGGTGGCGTGGAGGGATCGTTAGTTAATACGCAAACATCATCAAAGTGTCCTTAGTACCTCTCTCTCTCTCTCTCTCCTTCTTTCGACGTTGAGGACTTCTTCATCAGAGGCGTCGGGATCGTTAACTCGCCTGTAAACACGGTGCCGCCATCAAAACGTCATCAGTTGCACGAAATTGGAGAAAAATGGCGGGCGGCGAACGGTAAAAATCGCGGTTAACCGGACGTTGGGACGTTTCTCCATTAGCTGCTCGATTCACGAGCGAACGTTCCGCGTCCCCGTTTCATCCGATAATTATTAAACGAGCCACCTGCGATTCCTTCCACACGGGAACGAACTCAAGTGCGGCCTGATTCGATCGATCGTACGAAAAGATTAGAGTTGAAGTTGGAGGCTATAGGATATAGTTCATGGAAGGATTAGGGATTCTATTTTTTTTTTTTTTTTTGGTTCGAGATTCGAGGGGAAATTAAATTTTTTTCAAAATGATAAATAGATTCTAATTATTATTCGTCGAATTATGGACCGATGGAAAAATTAAATTTTCATTGGGAGTGGATCTTTTTAATCTCGGGGGAGGAAGAGATTTTTAAATTTTTAAAATCCTCGAAAAGGGGATGATAGAAGGCGATTGGATTGGGGGATAACGAGATGGACTCGTAACGCGTCCACATTGTGAAAGAACCTGTAGAAATTGCTCCAATTATGGAACACTGCTCGGAGATTTGATTTTCCGCGCAAGAAATATTCCGACCGAGGTGGAAGCGTTCAACGAGATGACTGACATTTGAAGCAGCGTTATTTATATTAATTACGAAGGAACGTGGTAAATTGAATAACGTTGCATTTGTAATTCCGTTTGATATCTCCGCGTGAAAGAAGCGTGAAGTTATTACCGTGTTGCCGTAACATAGTTACACATTACCGGCTCGCAGTCGATCAAAAAGAGTGGAAGGAGGAATGGAATTGAAATCGCTAATGTAATTGCCGCTCCGACTCTTATTACAATTATAATCGTACCATGACCAATTAAAGCCTTGCGAATATATATATATATATATAAAACTTTATGAAACTTAATTTCGAATAACAATGGCAAACAAAGTAATTAAGCAAAATTATCAACTTATTTCTCTCGAAAATATTTTCTCACAGAAATTTAAATCATATATATACATCTCGATCAAAAATTTCTACTTACTT